ACCTTAAAGAGATAAGCTAAAGTCTTTCAAGAATTTAGATCCTCCCCATCCCCTACTCTAGGTAAAATCAGCCTTACCCAGTAGATAATAAAGTTGTATAATAAATAATAACATTGCTGAAACTATAATTGTATGTCAGCCTGGAAACTGTAGGGGTAGCACTGAAAATTTGCCTTAGCTCTTGTTCAGCATCTCACAGTAGGATGGGAAGAGAGGAGGATGCAGCACACACAGAGACAGTGGGATGGGGTTTACATCTGGCATTTGGACACAGTGCTTGTTCTCCACCGAAGCATGCTGCCTTCTATAGAGCAGACACTTCCTGACTATGCTGAGTGAAATCGCTAGTCCAGGGAAAACTACTCCAAAACTTTGGGCTTTGGGATACCTGTGTTGCTGATTTCAGTACTACATACAGTTACTGATTTACTGAATGAAAAAATGTGCATTGAAGTGCTTTCGACGATGTACTAATTGGTATAGTGCTTGTTTAGGTTAATGCAAAATAATGGATTTTAACTAATTGTATGTAGTTGGCTTTAGTTAGTGGCCGAATCACTGTTTTTCATTTTAGATAAGAAAGGCTCTTGGAATTTTTTGACTCTGTCATGTCATTTGGCTCTTACTTGGAAGGAAGCTTAAAGTTTTATCTAGTTAGATTTACCTCCTAGTGCTCAAATAAACATCACCACCATTACAACCACAGCCAGTATTGTTTCTGTTAATTATTACATGGCAAACACCACATTTTACACATTAGTTGTGTGATACCTTGTGTGTGTTATTTGAGTCCCACCTTAGCACAAGGAGACTGATAGTTAACGGGTTGCGGAATGGGAGATCAGGACTGAGACCCAGCTCTGTCTGCCCTTCCTCACTCAGTTTCATCCCTCTGTATGTTGGCATCACTAGGTTCCACTCAGGTTTGTTTCAGTTTCCAACAACTGTTTTAGAAAGTCTTTTTTTAGAGCTATTGGTCATCTTTGCTTCTTTCTCTTTATTTTTCATTAAAAAATTCTGTGAATCATACAGTGGGAATGACTAGTGACTTCAAAATCTCACCCTACTTAAAATAGGTGTGGGTCAGTGTTTCTATATATTTTTTAACATTTTGCATTCAGTTGTATTATTGTGTAGATTTGTTTTGTATAATTCTAATGGTAACAGTTTTGTTTCTGCACATTCATTTGCTGTCATCATTTGTCAATATATTTGTTTTTAAAATGTTTTGAGATTTAATTTTGTGTGTATGTGTGTTGCCTGTATGTGTGTACCACATGTGTTTCCTGATGCTTTTGGAGGACAGAAGAGGGTATTGGATCACTAGACTTAAGGATGGTTGTGAGTCACTATGTAGGTGCTAGGAATTGAACCTGGGTCTTCTATGAGAGTAACAAGTGCTCTTAATTGCTGGGCCATCTCTCCAGGATTTTTTTTTTAAGATTTATTTATTTATTATGTATACAACATTCTGCTTCCATGTGTATCTGCACACCAGAAAAGGGCACCAGATCTCATAGGGATGGTTGTGAGCCACCCTGTGGTTGCTGCGAATCGAACTCAGGACCTCTGGAAGAGCAGTCGGTGCTCTTAACCTCTGAGCCATCTCTCCAGCCCCTCTCCAGGATTTTTTTTATCATTATATTTTAAAACCTAGCAGATTAACCTAAGTGTAGTTAACTCTTACGAATAACATGACTTGCATCTTTGAACATACATAACTTTTATGTTCAGGCATATCCTCAGTTTAGTTGTGGATGTCTGAGACTTGGGTTTGAGATTTATTAACTTCCTGAAACACTTGATATGGCTTTCCAGTAGACACAGTGGCTTCTCCATTTCACAGGCTCCATCTCTTCCTAGAGAACTCTTGTTGACATTTAGGTAGAGAAATAAGGGAGACACCATAGTCCCTGTACATAGCAGGGTAGCATGGAGCAACAGGGTAGTGACCTATAGTTGATCTGTGAGGAAAGATAAAAGCAAGGAGAAATGAATGTACTCAGCATTCTCTTGATTGCTACTACAGAGATGGAAAAGAACAGCTGAGCGTTGGTGGCGCATGCCTTTAATCCCAGCACTCGGGAGGCAGAGGCAGGTGGGTCTCTGGGAGTTCAAGACCAGCCTGGTCTACAAGAGCTAGTTCCAGGACAGCCTCCAAAGCCATAGAGAAACCCTGTCTCAAAAAACAAAAAAAAAAAAAAAAAGAAAAGAAAGAAAAGAACTACATTTTGGTGGAACCTGGTTTAGACCTTTAATTCCAGCCACTCTGAGTACCAAGATAGGATTGAGTATCTGTGAGTTCAAGGCTAGCCTGGTATACAAAACAATTGCCAGGACAGCCAGCCAGGACTAAATAGAGACCCTGTGTTTAAAAAAAAAAAAAACAGAAGGAGGAGGAGGAAGCGGAAGAGAGAAAGGAAGCGGGAGAGAGAGAGGGACAGAGAGAGAGAGAGAGAGAGAGAGAGAGAGAGAGAGAGAGAGAGAGAGAGAGAGAGAGAGAGGAATGGCCACCTCAGCCTTTGGGTATATGTTATGTTCACCTTTAAGTTGTATTTTATTTTTGCTTTATAATGTAACAGAACCTCTAGAGGGTTTTAATAGTTTCCTCTCTTACTCCCAAGTTAACTCACTACGTTAATAATTACACTGCCCATCAGTGTTGAAAACAGGCCACTTAGTGGTCTATACACTATGATACCATTTGAGTTAGAAAAACATAAAAGCAAAGTATATACCTGGCATGTTAGTACTAGGTATTACAGACTGAGAATTGTCAGATGTGAAGGGTATGTGGCCTAGAATGCTTAGATGATCACCTGAGAAGAAGCATGCCATTCAAGGTGCATTTTTATTCTGTTTAAACTTACTACAATGAGCATGTGTGGCATTTATTCTATTTTTAACAATTTGTTTTAATGTTCATTGGTGTTTTGCCTGCATGTTTGTCTGTGTGGAAGTGTCAGAAGTGCTGCAACTGGAGTTATAGACAGTTGTGAGTTGCCATGTGGTTGCTGGGAACTGAACTGGGGGCCCTCTGGAAGAACATCCAGTGCTCTTAACCACTGAGCCATCTCTCCAGCCCCTAAGGAAAAAAGATTATGATATAAAGACAGATACTTTTTTCCCAAGTAAATTCACTGCTTCTTTTCCCCTTAAGTACATGGTGAACAATAAAAGATATATTCTGACTACAAAACTGCTGTTTCTCCAATAATTCAAGAAAAGAGAAAAATACCAAACTATTGGTGTAATTTCTATATAACTTAATAAAGTTTGTTTGTTTCCTGTTTTCTCAGACAGGGTCTCATTATATATCTAGGCAGGTCTGGAACTCAAAGACATCTGCTTTCATTCATTACCTCCTAAGTTCTGGTATTAAAGACTTATGCCACCAAATCCAGCAGATTTTTTTTTTTTTTATAGAATTCTGTGCTTGCTTTAAGAGACTTTTTTAGTTTATATGTATTTTTCTTTTGCCTGCGTGTATGTTTGTGCACCGTATGTGTGCAGTGTTCATGAGACTTAAAAGGGGCATTGAAGCCCCTGGAATTAAGAGTTGCAAATGGTGGTTAGCTGCCATAGAGGAACACTCTTAACCACTAAGCCATTCTCCAGCCCTAATAAATTTTTCTCTGTGGAAAATTTCAAGCAAATAAAAAAGTGAAACTCTTATGGCCCTGCTTCATTTCATAGCCAGTTTTGTATTATCTGTAGCCTTCATCCCCTCCTCAGTTGTTTTGAAGATTATCTCAAATGTGTTACTTCATCTGTAAATATATCAGTACATTCATCTAAAAGATAATGTGATGGTTCTTATGTGTAATCCTGTATTCAGGAGGCTGAAGTAGGATTCTGAGTCTGAGGTTAGACTGGGCTACACAGAATTCCAGGTTCTCCCAGCTCTGTGATAGAACCCTGCCTCAAAAACCCAAGGTAGAGGGCTAGAGAAATGGCTCAGCAGTTAAACACTTAGTGCTTTTGCAGATAACCCTGGTTGGGTTCCCAGTATTCATAGTATTTACAGGTATTTTCATCTACCTATAACTTCATTTCCAAGGAATCTAATGCCCTCTCTGATTTCCACAGGCTCCTGCGTGTGTGTGTGTGTGTGTGTGTGTGTGTGTGTGTGTGTGTGTGTGTGTGTGTGTGTGTGTGTGTATGTATGTGTACGTGTACGCAAATACACACACATAAAATAATTTTAAAACCCCGAAGTAAATGTGAAAAAGGAGTGCTTTTTGGCGCACTTTTAAAATGAGCAACAGTTTCTAACCATCAAATCATTCAAAAGGCTTTTTTTAATGCTCTACACTCAAGTTATTTACTTTTAGTTTAAGTTGCTGCTTTATTTACTTTGGTATCTTAATGTCTGTCCCTTTTCAAATTTAGTATGAGTTTTCCCTCTAGGATAAAGACAGTTTTGTGTATATGTTCATTTGTGTACAGAGGCATACATATTCGTATGTGTGTAGAGGCCTTGTTCCTCAGTGCTATTTACCTCGTCTTTGAGACAGGGTTTCTCATTGGCTTGGAACTTCACAGGTAAGGTAGCAGGCTGGCCCACCAGCAAGTCTCATGGGTGCAGAGGGGTACCCCATGCCCAGCTTTTTAAAGACATGGTTTCTGGGGGTACTCATGCTTCCTTTTTTGTTTGTTTGTTTGTATACAAGGTCTCACTATGTAGCCTTGGCTGGCATAGAATTCCAGGCTGGTCTGGAATTCATAAAGATCTGCCTGCCTCTGCCTTGTTTTTAACTTTAAAAATATTAAGGTTTTTGGTTTTGGTGCCTTTTGTTTAATATGAGAAAACCAAATAAATGGCTAGATATTTTCATCTTCAGATTTAAAAAATGATTTAAGCATATTTCTGATTTTGCTTCATTGGCATAGAAAACTATGATTGAATAGCAAAATTATGCAAGTCAAAAATCATGCTAAAAGTGTCCTTCTTTAAAAGTGCCTCTGATATCTGACTGTCATATTTTTGTTTTGCATAGGTCTAATTAATAGAAGATGGCAAAGCCCAGTCACAGCAGCTACGTCCTTCAGCAGCTAAACAACCAAAGAGAATGGGGTTTTCTCTGTGACTGCTGTATTGCTATTGACGACATTTACTTCCAAGCACACAAAGCAGTCTTAGCTGCCTGTAGCTCCTATTTTAGAATGTTTTTCATGAACCATCAGCATAGTACTGCACAACTGAATCTCAGCAACATGAAAATAAGCGCTGAGTGTTTTGATCTCATTTTGCAGTTCATGTATTTAGGGAAGATTATGACTGCTCCTTCCAGTTTCGAGCAGTTCAAAGTGGCAATGAACTACCTACAGCTCTACAATGTTCCCGACTGCTTAGAAGATATACAGGACGCGGACTGTTCTAGTTCAAAATGTTCTTCTTCTGCTTCCAGCAAACAGAACAGCAAGATGATTTTTGGGGTAAGAATGTATGAAGACACAGTGGCTAGAAACGGCAACGAAGCCAACCGGTGGTGTGCAGAGCCCAGTTCAACGGTGAATACCCCGCACAATAGAGAGCCTGATGAAGAGTCTTTACAGTTAGCTACTTTTCCTGAGCCGCTGTTCGATGTGTGTAAAAAAAGTTCTGTGTCCAAACTATCTACTCCAAAAGAACGTGTGTCACGTCGCTTTGGACGGAGCTTTACCTGTGATAGTTGTGGATTTGGCTTCAGCTGTGAAAAATTACTAGATGAACATGTGCTGACCTGCACTAACAGACATTCCTACCAAAACACAGCAAGAGCTTACCACCGGATAGTAGATATTAGAGATGGAAAAGATAGCAACATCAAAGCTGAGCTCGGTGAAAAGGATTCTTCCAAAACATTTTCTGCACAGACAGACAAATACAGAGAAGACGCCAGCCAGGCGCCTGATGGTTCAGCTTCGACCACTGCAAGCAGGAAAAGCACGGTAGAGTCTGGAATGGCTGGTGAAGAAAAAAGTAGAGCTGCTGAGACAAAAAGAATTATTATCAAGATGGAACCAGAAGATATTCCTACAGATGAGATGAAAGACTTCAACATTATTAAAGTTACTGATAAAGACTGCAACGAGTCCACTGACAATGATGAATTAGAAGATGAACCTGAAGAGCCATTTTATAGATACTATGTTGAGGAAGATGTCGGCATTAAAAAGAGTGGTAGGAAAACCCTAAAGCCTCGGATGTCTGTAAGTGTGGATGAAAGAAGTGGTTTGGAAAGCATGAGACCTCCTAACAATAGCAGTCCAATCCAGGAGGACACCGACAATGCATCTTGTGAGCTGTGTGGACTCACAATAACTGAGGAGGACCTGTCGTCTCATTACTTAGCCAAGCACATCGAAAATATCTGCGCATGTGGTAAATGTGGACAAATACTTGTCAAGGGCAGACAGCTTCAGGAACATGCTCAGAGATGTGGAGAACCTCAGGATCTGACGATGAACGGGCTAGGAAATGCTGAAGAGAAAATGGACATGGAAGAGAACCCTGATGAGCAGTCTGAGATAAGAGACATGTTTGTTGAAATGCTGGATGATTTCAGGGACAGTCATTACCAAATAAACAGTATACAGAAAAAGCAGTTATTTAAACATTCTGCCTGTCCTTTTCGGTGTCCCAATTGTGGTCAGCGTTTTGAAACTGAAAATTTAGTGGTTGAACATATGTCTAGCTGCCTAGACCAGGATATGTTTAAGAGTGCCATCATGGAAGAAAATGAAAGAGATCACAGACGAAAACATTTTTGTAACCTGTGTGGAAAAGGATTTTATCAGCGGTGTCATTTGAGAGAACACTATACTGTTCATACTAAGGAAAAGCAGTTTGTTTGTCAGACATGTGGAAAGCAGTTTTTAAGAGAGCGGCAGTTGCGTCTGCACAATGATATGCACAAAGGCATGGCCAGGTATGTCTGTTCCATTTGTGATCAAGGCAACTTCCGAAAACATGACCATGTACGGCATATGATCTCTCATTTATCTGCTGGTGAGACTATATGCCAGGTCTGCTTTCAGATATTCCCAAATAATGAACAGTTGGAGCAGCATATGGATGTTCATCTGTATACTTGTGGAATATGTGGAGCAAAGTTTAATTTGAGGAAAGATATGAGATCACACTATAATGCCAAGCATTTGAAAAGAACCTGAGGGGCTTTCTACTGCACGAATGTTTAGTTGATAGGCAGAACACCAAAGCAAAAGGATATGAGCTATTTAGACACTGATTTCATAAGAAGTGTTGGGGAAAGATTTCAAGGCCCTTTTACTTTAACATTTTTGTTTAGGACCTTAAGTATATTTTAGGCATTAAATGTTTATCATTTTTGATGTTTCCAAGAGCATTCTTTGTTCATAGTTTTCTTAACTACCATTAAAATTACTTTTCAATGTAGACTGTAAGTGGCTGTTATCCCTTCAATGACTATTAAACTAGTTTTTTTTTAATCAATAAGGTAATGATTTCACTATTTCTATGTACTTTCATTTTAAGGTTATCCTATGAAATTTTAAACCCAAGATTACTGACCATTCCTGCTTAAATTTTTTAAGAGTTTTTAAATAATTATTTAAAACTGTCATTCATTTTTTGCTTCTTTTTTGCTTTTGCTTTTTTGGGGTTTTTTTTTGGCTTTTTGGCTTGTTTGTCAGTTGTATAGTGGATGGCTACTGTTCATTCTCCCTTATCAATGAAATCCATATTCTTAAATTGACAAACTTAGGCAAGTGAGGTGCACTGAATCTAACCTTCAAGGTGGACATGGGCTCAATCTTGGCCTAAGATTGATGGACCTAAGGAAATTCCTATAAATGAACATTTCCTATAATTGATAAAATGTTATCATTTAATAATCACATTTAAAACTTATATTAAGTGTAAATCCCAATGACTTTCCCTCACTTGAGAAATTAGTGGGGATAAGCCATTTTGTTTTGTGATACTGAATTTAACTATGATAGTTAATTAAAAAAACATCTTGTATTCATTAAAATATTTTAATTTAAAAATATTCTGATTTCTAAAGTGTGTTAGTTTATCAATTATTTTGTTTATAAATAGACTTTAATAGCTCTTTAGGAATATGACATCTAAGAAAAATGATTTTTCATTTTTAAAATTACTTTGGAACTGAGATTTGAAAAAGCTGCCATGTATATTGATAAATCTAATAAAATAAAGAAATCAATTATAAATCTGGTTGTTCTATAAAAGTAGAGTGCACAAAAGTGTGTTGTGTTTACACTAAGATTTGGAGGAAGTGTGTTGCTGCAAATTGAAGTTTATTGCTATGCTTTATAGATAATTTTCTGTAAAGGATACAAGATTTGAGGACTATAAAATAATCACAGCATATAAATGGAAACAGCTTCTACTTGTCAGATAAAGTAGTCATATTGTTAGTTGTTTTGGACAGGGTCTCTACTATATCAGTTACGTGTGAACTTAATCCCTGGCAAAACAACCCACTAATAAACACATCTACTGAATAGAATGCCTTTTAATGTGAATTACTTGGAACACCCTTCTTATATTGAGAGGGATTAGTTAACATTTATATTTAAAAGTATGGCTTTGATCATGGATAGTTTAAATGCATTGCTCTTTTTTGCTCTTGATAGTTTTAAGATATGCAAATCATATTTTCACATAAAAGTACAAGTTGCCAAGAAAACTGAGAGACATTGGCTAGTACAGGATCAGTTGAAAGTACTAGAGCACAGTAAACACAGAGATTGATGGGCATGTGTTGAAATGTTACTGAGGACAGGATAGCACAGGAGCCAAGACATTAAAACCTGACCATGAGAAGAGGCACAAAAACATAATGGATCTTGGGAGTTTTTTCCAAGGCCACGTGTAGTTAACAGAACATGCTAGAAAAGTCATTCATTTAAAAATGTCTTCGATAGGCCTGACGTTGGTGGCGCACGCCTTTAATCCCAGCACTCGGGAGGCAGAGGCAGGTGGATCTCTGAGTTCGAAGCCAGCCTGGTCTCCAGAGCGAGTGCCAGGATAGGCTCCAAAGCTACACAGAGCAACCCTGTCTCGAACAAAAAAAAAAAAAAAAAAAAAAAAAAAAAAAAAGTCTTCGATAAGGTAGTTTAACAAGTACTTAAAACTGAAGAGAAAATACAAGATGCATATGTAGATTACTCGTAAACACCTGATAAATGTTCTCTAACGGAGCCAAACGTCAAAGAGTAGTGTAAAGGAAGAGAAGACAGATCAAAGGAAATGATCAAGTTACACAGTATCTTAGGGGACCTAATTTGGGGGTTAGGAGGTCACTTTTCCCTGTCAGAATTTGTGTTGCAAAGGCTTTCCCACAGTTAAAGGCATTTTTAAAATATCCCATCCTTGAAAAAGGAATCCTCTCTTTCGTGAGGGGGAGAGGTTTGATTTAATGTTTTAGTGTGTGCTAACAACTACCAAATTAGCAAGCAAACATAATCTAACTTTATCAATTAAACCATCAATTGTGATGGTTTCAAGAAGCCATGTTTGATGATGTTTTCTATTTTATACCATAAAGTATGCATGTTTTTTGGGAATTAAGCTACAGGATAGCACAGGTTTCTCCAAGTAGAATGTACAATTTTCTTTAACAAGACTAGCTTTGGGTAAAAGTTACTTAGCTTGGGCTGGAGAGATGGCTCAGTGGTTAAGAGCACTCACTGACTGCCATTCTAGAGGTCCTGAGTTCAATTCCCAGCAACTACATGGCCACTCACACCATTTGTAATGAGATCTGGTGCCCTCTTCTGGTGTGCAGGCATACATGCAGACAACACTGTGTACATAACAAATATTTAAAAAGAAAGAAAACAAAAGAAATTACTTAGATTGTAAAATTAATAGGGATGAGAAACACCCACCACTTCTGCCTGCAACCTCTCCTGCCTCCCTTGAACTGTGAAGACAGTGACTCAAGGCTGGGATGTTTGCCTGGTGCTTCTGCCTTTAGTAGTTCGCACATTTAGGATCCAAAATTTTTCAGATCTGTAGAGGAAAAGAGAAACGAGAAGAGTAGCATCTCTCCCCCTGTATTAATGACACTTCTCATTTGAAGTCCCATTGCTGGAATTTCTTAGTAAACAATCTAATTGGATTTTTTTCTCTCTGGTGCTCCAGATCAAACCCAGAGCCTTGACATGCTAGGCAGCCATTCTGCCTGAGCTGTGAATTGAGTTTCTCTTTTGAAACAGCAAAAAAAGAAAAAAAAAAAAATCCGGGAGAAATAATTCATTTCTAACAAGGTTGACACTACAATGTGGATCTATGATTTTTCATAAAGACTGGACCTCAGAACTTAATAAAGTAGAATCAAATCAACAAAAGACTAGAACTCAACTGGATTTAATCCCTCCTTCCCCCCTCCATTTTTCTCTCTTGTAGCCCAAGCCGGCTAACCCAGGTGTGCCTCAAGCTCATGCTGCTCCTCTGCCTCAGCCTCCCAGGTTCAGAAGTTACAGGTGTGAGCTAAAGCTTTAGTTCAGCATCTCATGTCCTTTCAGGTTCTTTGCTCTGTTAGTCAGGGTCTTGCTTTGTAGCCTGAGAGAGGTTGGAGTGGAAGTCTCCATTCTTGCAGTGTTTCACACCCAATTAAATTCCTTTTTTTTTTTTTTTGTTTTTTCAAGACAGGGTTTCTCTGTGTAGCTTTGGCAATCCTGGCACTCGCTCTGTAGATCAGTCTGGCCTTGGACTCACAGAGATCTGCCTGCCTCTGTCTCCCAAGTGCTGAAAGTCTCATATGTTTTAATGAAATTTTTCAGAGCAATGACCCACATGATAACACGGTATATAGCAAATGTTTAATATAAAGTAATAAACAATTTGACTCCACGCAGCTCCACGCAAAATGTTAAATGAGAAGGATTTCAGAGGGTACTCTTAAAAGAATTAAGCTGCTAGTCAGTGGTGGTGCATGCCTTTAATTTCAGCACTTGAGAGACAGAGGCAGGAGGATCTCTTGAGTTTGGGGCCAGTCTGGTTTACTAAGAGAGTTCAAGGACAGCCAGGATAGTTACACTGAGAAACCCTATCCCCCCCTCCCCCCAAAAAATGGAGGCTGGGTGTGGTGGTTTATGCCTATAATCCCAGCACGCCAGAGGCTAGGTTCAAGGCTACTACTTGAGTTCACGACTCCGCTGGTCTTTACATAGTTAAAACCCTGTCTCAGAAAAATGAAAAATACTGTTGAGGACAGCTTGCTAAGACAGAACAACACTGAGCTTGAAAATCCATGTTTCAGCTTGAAGCAAAAATACGAACATGATGTAAAACTGAATGTAAACCAATGATAGGATATTAAGGTTTTTTGTTTTGTTTTTTGTTTTTCGAGACAGGGTTTCTCTGTGGCTTTGGAGACTGTCCTGGAACTAGCTCTTGTAGACCAGGCTGGTCTCGAACTCACAGAGATCTGCCTGCCTCTGCCTCCCAAGTGCTGGGATTATTAAAGGTGTGTGCCACCACCTCCCAGCGGATATCAAGTCTTGATTAGGCTAATCCAACTAATTGTGAAATACCCAATGGAATAGTAGTTATAAGCATGGCAAGTATGTGCCCCAAAAGTGATGGTTGGTGGTAACTTCTCACTGGTTAAGCAATATTTCTTTATATCACTAATAAAGTTATATACTTACTAGATCTTTGAAAAATCTTCCTAAGAGCCAGTTTAACATTTGAAAAAAAAAGTGTCTTTGTTACTAAAAACTAATATATCAGTACTAAAAGAAAAAGACCTCAATATGTACTTGTAAGAAAAAGACCTGAATATGTACACATAGCTGAGAAGTTATGATTTGACATACCTAATTTGAACTGGGTTTATCATTAACTTAAGAGCTGGATATGATGGCACATACCTGTAAACCCACTATTTGGGAGGCTGAACCAGGGACGTCAAGAGTTCAAGTCCAGCCTGGACTACATGATACCATGCCACAGGTTGTTAAAAAAGAAAAAGAAAAGAGCCATTCCCCCCACCCCATTGTTCTGTTTTGATCAATTCCTCAACTTTGTTCACTTTGTTTCCCATATAAGTGCTTCCCAAGGATAAAATGCCCATTCTCTCCCACTTACTAGGATTGCAGAGTAGCAGAAATTGAGGGGAGCATGTTTTCATAGAACCCTGTCCTCTGTGCTTGATAGCTCAGCTCAGTTAACTAGGTGTGATGATATGGACGCTAAGGAACTAGCACAAGTGAAGCCATCCTCTGAGTTAAGAATTTGATGTTTACATCCCAGCTTAGGAAACCCACAGTTTGCCCATAGTAGGACTGGCTCCCTAGAGTCCAAGCATCCATTTCTTCAGCACTCTGTATTCCTTATCCCCTTTGAGGTAAGTCTACTAATTTTCCAGATGGGGGACAAAGATCCAAAGACTACTTATTTTTCCTAAGCCACACAAACTGTATATACTAGACCTGGAATTGGAATTCAGTCTTTGACTAAGGCTACATTCTTGTACTTAATCATGAAGACACATGTTCCATCTACAAAGAAGTGCCTTTTCAGCATAGGACACACATGACAAAGTTCGTGTGAGGCTGTGCTCCTTGGTCACCTGTCATCTGTGATTCCTGGTAAGGTGGCTGGTAATAGTGGGAACTACCTGAGGTGAGAATATAAAGTAGAAAGCAAATGTGGTTTGAATGTGTCATTCAGAATGTTTTGATTTTGCTTCATTTAAACTTAAAACATTTGGTGATAGTTATTTGAGGGCCCAATAGTCAGTTGAAAGTTAACTTGAATTGGCATTGCATGTTTGTACTGGGGCTTTGTTTTAGTCTCCACCAGCCTGTTTGCTTGCATTGGTCATGGAATTAGTAAATTGAAGAAGTCAGATTACTCAAGCAAATATCCCCAGGGGAAAAAAACAAGATAACAATAACCAGTCTCCTCTTTTTTGTTTTTTTGTTTTTTTTTTGGGGGGGGGGTTCAAGACAGGATTTCTCTGTGGCTTCAGAGGCTGTCCTGGAACTAGCTCTTGTAGACCAGGCTGGCCTTGAACTCACAGAGATCTACCTGCCTCTGCCTCCCGAGTGCTGGGATTACCTCTTTTTTTGCTTTAATAGAGGTGGATAAGAAACTGGATATTCCTTTGACCATTGAACAGATTCCCCTCCCCCAATGGTATAGTGTGGTTGTTTTACTAAAGGAATCTGCTTAAAAACAAAAGTTGGATATTCTAACTCTATGATTCCATTTATAAAAATATAGGTTTCTAGGTAAGCTCAAAGGCAGTTTTACAAAAGAAATGGAAGATGAGCCCAGGAGGTCACAACTTTGTAACTACATCAGTCTAGCAGCACTCAAAATGTTAAGTAATGTTTTAAGGAGGACAATAAGATTCCGACCTTTGCAGCTATTTAATATCTACACAACAGATTCTATGCTGAAGCTACCTACCATTAATAATTTGGCTACCATATGTCAATGTTGTTTTTGAAATAAAAGAATGAACTGGAGACTGTTCTGTGACCAATATAGTCATTTAAATGGCCCTACTCCTCACTGCTCTCTGTAAAACTCTAGAACACATTATTTAGGGTTTAGTCTCAAAAACAGATGAAATTTAGCTCTTTATATGTTTATATTCTGGCAAAGACAAAAAGAGGATTTTATTATTTCTGTCTACCAGGGACAGTTGGTAAATAGAAACTAACCAGATGAAATAACAACTTGTAAATCCATGCTGGTTTTGAAGCAATTTATTACTAACATGCACATATGCACACATACATAATTCAAGTTAGCATTGAGTTTAAATCTTTAACTTTCTTGATAATCAGGAAAACCAAATCATTGAGGCAAATTAGTAATGAGAGATTATCTTTGTATCAAAGTTCACATAAATCAATGGAGGGCAGAAGGGGGTAAAACTGAAAGGTGATATGTAAATTACAATTCCATACTCGGTTTCATTCTAATGGATCAGTGTGCTAATCACTGAGCTAAGTATAAAATCATAGGAAAGGCAGCACCTGAGGAAGGTGACGAAAGACATTTCGAAGCCAAGAATATTAACAATGTCATGTAAGAAAATTTGCATCAAAAAAAGCTCGTTATGGTAGCACGTACCTTTAATCCCAGCACTGGGGAGGCAGAGGCAGACGGACTGAGTTCAAGGACAGCCTGGTCTACAGAGCAAGTTCCATGACAGCCAGAACTGTACAAATAAACTCTGTTTCAAAAAACCAAACAAAAAAGAAAATTGCATAGTAGTCTGTAATGGCCTATTTGAAAAAGGATTAGAGTTAAACATATAGCCTTTAAGCCGGACTTAAAACATTTGCTTGGCTTCTATTATGCTTAAACCAATAATTTATACCTGCTTATTCACTCAATCAAGTGAATAGACAGAGCAAGGGTTCTGTTCTGTTTTGAAGATGGGGTCTCAAGTAGCCAGTCTGGCCTTGAACAGGGTGATCCTCCTGCCTCATCGCCCAAGTGTCATATCACAAACATAATCACCGTGCACAGCTACAGTGCTGTTTCTGATTAAACAAATCTAGGCACCCAGTTATAGAAGTCACCTTTTCCTTCAAATGCTTATGTTCCCCGGTAAGAGAGATATTTTAAGGGACTATTTTTTTAAAAAAGGATATTAGTATTAGGGCAAAACATTCCTACAAAAAAATAACACTTTGCCCAATACCAGGGGGTGGGTTAGGAGAGTTACAAACCCCGGACTGACTTCCCAGCCATGTTTGTACTTGGTTTTCATTTGCAAAGTATATGCCTAATATTTGAAGAAAGTAGTGTTAGTGTGATGGCTGAAGACTAAAACCATGAACTTTCAAATTCATCACATCGGTATTTCAGTCAGATATTTTTCATTAGCAAACACATTATAAAACTATCCCATTTGAAGAGAAGTGCTTGCTTAGCTCCCGCTCCCCTGGCACCCTGTCTTAGGTGACATACTCATGTCTGCAGCCATGCTTACTTAGACCACGAAAACAAAACTAAAAGGTGCCCTGAATTTGAAGACTTAACACCAGTGATACTAGTTTATAAGTTCAGGTTCTAGGAGCTATTCTCTCGTTCCTGCTCTGTTCCTTCAACAGTGTGTCAGTGCCAAAGCTAAAATATTCTGACCTAAGCATGATATTGTCTTGTAGAGCAGTTGCCTTGTGATGTTATTTTTCTTGAGTTTTGTCTTTTTCTGTGTGGCAGTGGTGAAATAGGGCCTTCTAAGCCTCTGGAGAAGTGACAGATGTGGCTTTGGAGAGGACATGGGGAAGAATCATTCTTCAACAGATAATCTTTAAGTGCAGACCCAGGAAATCAGATCTGACGTGGCACCATCTTGTCTGTCTTCCTGACAAACGCCATCAGCCCCAAAGTTCCAGTTGCAAAGATCCAAGAAAACTCAATAAAGATCACTTTGGAATCACTTTGTTGTAACAAAATTGATTCGCAGTGACTCTCCTAGTACTTACAGAAAATCTGCTAAAGAAAAGTGACTGTAAAAGTCATGTGACATCAGTGATTAAGTTTATGCCATGTATCTTCACGGTTCCCTTCTAGAATAAAGGGCTTGCTAGGCTACTGTGAATGCACTATAAAGGGAGATAATTACATATTTCCGTAAACACATATTCTAAACTCAAAACAACCAGAATTATATATTGTAAAATGCAGTTAAGCAATTTAAAAGAATATTAAAAATATCTGTAGAGTGTAAGTAAAAAGAAATGGGTACAGAAAAAGAAAATCCAAGACCAGATCTTTAACAAGATAATGTAGCTATTAGAGAAATGTAACACTAGGCTTCCTTTCTCGCTGTGTACCAGTCACACACTTGCTTATGAATATGAGTGAAGCTTCTTTCAAAGTCTCCTGAACAGAGGAGCATTATTCAGTAGTGGTAGATTCCCACAAACCATGCATTATTTTCTTCTGAACTTAGCAATATGGTCCCATAATATAAAATGATTTTTTGTTATTCTCAGAACTGATGTATAGTGTCATGTTTAGCTTCAAATTTCAAAATAAAATGGAGCACTAAATGAACTGATAATATGTCTGTATGAAACCTTTGCTGAGATAAGATTTAGTGAGATTTGAATTTAGCTATGACTACAAATGCTTCACTACACATACACTCCTTAACCATATGAATCTTATGTATTATTTCTTGATTGTGAATATACTTTTTTTGCTTTTTGTTAACTATGTGACTAATTCCTTATTGCTTTGTTGTTTGTGTGTGTGATTTCAAATGTTTAAATGCTTTGTTTTTATGCAAAATCCTTGCAAGTATTTTAATAAGTTACACAAAGAAATCTGTCCTAAGGAATGAAGAGTGTATATGGTGTACATCTTTAATCCCAGTACTTGGGAAACAGAGGCAGGCTGATTTCTGTGAGTTCATGGCCATGCTGGTCTACATAATAAGTTCCAGGCTAGCCAAGGCTATATAATAAGACCTTGTCTAAAAAGAATTTTTCTTAAATTAAAAGAAAATCCTCACTTTAAGGTAATAATAACTTGAATCTCATTTTGTAAACTAACTGGCTAAAAAATCAGAGAGCCCACAATAAGAGATAATGGATATAGAGACGAAAGAGAACAAAGAACCCTACCAGAGTTCAGATTCAATGAGACATGCTGATGGATGCTTGCAATCCTAGCTTTTGGGAGGTAGAGGTGGGAGCATCAAAGAGAATTCAAGGCTAGACTTGGCTACAGAGTGAATCAAAGCCAGCCTGGGCTACATGAGACCCTATCTCAAACAAACAGACAAAAATATTCCAAATATATGACTGCTTTAAGACAAAAGGTCTAGACAAGTGTTAAGAGTTGAAACATCACCAGAGTAATAAGCATATAGACTGCAGGCTTCTTAAAGTACTTAGAAAATTTAAAAAATCACAATAACTAAAGAAACCAGATCAAGATAGAAAAGACTCAGTTTTTGCCTAAGTTTTATTACTCTAGGTTTACTAAAGAAAATGGTTTTGACTGTATTAAATGCAAGTGTAACGAAATACATAAGTGGTATAGTGCATACTATAATGTGATTATTTTCTGTACATTATTTTAAGTGGAATTTTTGGATTACATACAGTATTTTTGTTACATTTTGAAATCCATTGCTTTTACCTAATAAAATTTCCTCCTCTACATTCAGAAGTTAAACTGTTTGTACATCACCTTCATTTGTATTGCATTTGTTTGCAACCTAATTCTTTTAAAGCATAACCAGTCAACTAAGTTATCAACTCGACCTATCCTCTAGTGTCACAATAATGTCACCAGAGGTGGTCATGTATGGCCCAAAGAGAATTAGCTAAAATTTATTGCTGACTCCTGTTTATTCGTTTTTTGATACAGAAGAATGATTGGAAAATACTATTCCAAGGCAAACATGAAAGCAAATTATTGTGTTGACAATGATGGAATATTTGGTCTGTCTCTCCCCTTGACAGGGCAGCCTCACTTTGCTGCATCATTTCAAACTGTTCTCCAAGGAACATGATTTGTTAGCACTCAAGATGAAGAAGGCAGACTGCCTGTAGCTTCCGGCCACCTCTCAGAAAGCATGTCTTCCAGGGCCAGGCGTTTAGATGTCCACTCAGGACATGGCAGTCTCCCTGCCCATCTTACCATGTATCTTCAGTTTAATTGAACTTAAGACTAAGCTTTGTTTTGTTGTTTTTTTGAGATAAGGTCTCACTCTGTAGCCCAGGCTGCCTTAAACTGGTGGTGATCTTCCTGCCTCTGCCTTCAGAGTTCTTGAATTACAGGTTTAAATCACCATACCAAACAAGACAAACTTTTAAGACTCAAAGAAAACAAATGGTGATTTCCCCCGACCATAGGGGCTGAGAATTGGAGAATTATCTTAAGACCAGGCACTTTAGAGCTGCCAAGGTAGCTCACCAGGTTAAGGCACTTGCCACCAAGCCTGAAGACTGAGTTTGATTTCCAGAACCACGTGAACACCAGTTCTCTCCAGTTGTCCTCTGACCTCCATATGTGCTAGGGCATGTGTGCATGTGAGGTCACACAAAGCAAGCATGTCTGAGAAAAACAAAAACAGTACACTAGAGACAGGATTACAGCTAGCCAGTATCATGCAGCAAGGCCCTGTCACAAAAAGGTGTGGAGGTGGCCTTAAATAATTACAAAATGCATGATGGCGCATGCCTTTAATCCCAGCACAAGGGAGGCAGAGGCAGACAGATCTCTGTGAATTTGAGGCCAACCTGGTCTACAGAGTGAGTTCCAGAACAGCCAGGGATGCTACACAGAGAAACCCTGCCTTAAAAAAACAAAAAAGAATTATAAAATGGCACTGTTTATAGAGATCTTAAATATAATCATTAGTTGAACTCCAGCCTGCTCATATATCTTCAAATTGGAAGCTGTTACTGATTCTACTTCCTCTTCAGGCCTCCTCAAAACAATGCCAACCCTAATGAAGCCTATGCCTGGGTGGGATTAGAAGGATTTAGGACAGTTTAGCCTTGTACTTTGCCACCAGCTAACGCTTGCACACATCATCTTGGGTCTCATATTAGCTCAAGATCTCTAGTGCAGATATTTTCAGATATTAATCTGTTTCAACTGTTAGACTCTGTAATGTGTAAGAGGATTTTCTTCTTACACAAGAGGAAGATTGTTTGTGGATGAAAATATTATGCTTTGGATAACTTTTAATAAACAATGAATGAGCTGGGAATATGACCCGGAGATGAGGTGCATTATAGGTTTTTGTAGACGAAACCTTGTGTTTAATCTCCAATACCAAGCCCCAAACCAAAACCCACCAAGCTCTTGATTCTTTGACCAGTCTGTGAAAAGTTAATCTTTGGACTAAATATTTTAGAAACAGTCTAGTATATATGATCTGTTAAAGAGATTTTACCTGTTGAAAACCAGTACTGATTTATGTGTAAGTAATAGGACTGGTGAACTTTGTTTCAGTTGAATGTTGTTGCTATTTTAAAAATCAATTGGAGGGGCTGGGGAGGTAGCACAGTTGACAGAGTTCTTACCTAACAAGCATGGAACCCTGAGTTTGATCCTTACATGAATCAACTGGGCATGTTGGTACATGTCTATGATGTTAGCACTTTCGAGGGTAAGGCAAGAAAATCAGGAGTTTAAGGTCATATTTGACCACATAGTGAGTTTAAGGTCAGCCTGGGCTACCTGAGACCCTGTCTGAAAAAAAAAAAAAAAGTAAAAATATAATAAAGCAAGTTCTGATAACCCTGCCATCTAAATTCTGGTGTCATTTTCATATATAGAGAATTATTCCACTAATAGAATCAGATACAGAAGCTGGTAAGATAGCTCAATGTTTAGAACAGTTGCTGCATAGTCAAGAGTACTAGAGTTCAGATCCCAGCATGAATGTAACAGTGGGTGCACTGCACACAGTCTTAACTCCAGCTCTGCATGGGTGTCAGAAAGGGATGGTGGCTGGGCTTGCTGACTTCCAACCTACACAAACAACCCAAAGCCTCAGGCTCAGCAAGAGAGCCTGTCTCATAGGAATAGCAGGAGAGTGACAGAGAAAAGACAGTCTGCCCTGTCTTCTGACTCATGCAAGTAAGTGGATATGCATTAGGGTGCATGTGTATTGGCACATGAAGGCACAAATAATAACAATTTAAAAAGCATACAGAAGTTGAGTACCTCCTTTTTTCATTTAATTATATCCAAGGCAAGTCCGTGTCATTAAAAATCTTGTAAACAGGACCAAAGAGATAGCTTAGCAGTTAGGAGCATTACAGACTCTTCATTTCCAGGGAATCTGAATTAAGCTCCCAGCATCCTCCTCCAGTGGCTCAGGACTACAGGTAACCCCAGCTCCAGGGGACCCAACGCCCTCTTTGACCTCTGTGGGCCCTGGCAAACAAATCTTAAAAAATAAAAAGGTTACCCCTAGTACACAATGGACTTTGGGAGCCCTCTCCACATAGAAGGATACTCTCTCAGCCTAGATACACTGGGGAGGGTCTAGGCCCTGCTCTAAATGATATGACAGGGGTTGGGATAGAGGGTCGGTGGGGGGCAGGGAAGGAGAGGAGGGGGAAGAAACTAAGATTGACATGTAAAAGAAGCTTGTTTCTAATTTAAATAAAAAAGAGAAAATAAAATAAAATAGGGAGGGGCTAGAGAGATGGCTCAGAGTTTAAGAGCACTGCTGCTCTTCTAGAGGTTCTGAGTTCACTTCCCAGCAACTATATATAATGAGATCTGGTGTGCAGGCAGAACACCATATACATAATAAATCTTTAAAAATAAAAATTTAAAAAGGAATGTGATGGTAAATGTGTATGTTTCCAAATGTCAATGCTAATCTAGCATTGTTCTTAAAAATTATGTGAATAGATGAACATGGTGACATCCCAGCACTCGGGAGGCAGAGGCTGGCAGATTTCTGTGAGTTCGAGGTTGGTCTGATCTACATAGTGAGTTCTGGGACTCATAGTGAGGGCTGTCCTTGTAAATACTTTTGCAGGTACATAATTCATCATGTGTATATAAGTAATTGATTTTTTGCATTCAATATTTAAACCATTTTCAATTTACTGTTGCCACCACAAATAATAACACAGGCATTTTCTATTATCTCCTTAGGATGAACCACACAAATAATATTGATAAAGGATATGATCTCTTCAAGGTGAAAACAAAAGCACTGCCGCAGTCCTCCAGAAAACCCTCAGTGGTGAGCAGTCTTGGTAGGGCTTGCCTGTTTTGCTACACCACTGATAACACAGATGGTCAAAACCTTGCTGATTTAATCATTTTTAATGGACTGTGATTTTAATTATTTATTTATTTTGGTTTTACTGTTTCAATCTATAGCTCATGCTGGCCTGGAACTCACTATGTAATAATCCTCCTGCCTCTTGGTCCTGAGAGCTGAGATTATAGGTATTGCCACCACACCTACCTGAACTGTGTTTTTAATGAATTCTGAGGTATAGTTATCAAAAAGAAAAAAATGCCTGTTTTAAAACAAATTACAAACAAGGGAAATGTAAAAGATACCAACAAAATGAAAATATGCCAATGCTCTGTCTGAAGAAGTTTCACATAAAAATATTATTACTGTATCTTTGTGGGAAAGGCCCAAGGTACCATGTACAGTATGAAACATGTAAACATCAATTTACCAGGTGAAAAGTGAAAGCAGAAAAATATAGCTAATAAAAACACAGGCATAACTGTGCTGTCATTTCAGAAGACTGTTAAAGATGTGGTGAGAGACTACAAGATTTGTCTGCAGTGACTGCATAGATAGGACATAGTTACTTCACAAGAGAGCTCTCCCTTTGAAGCTCTAAGGGTCTCTCTGTGGGAGAAGTTTGGGCCTGCTGGCTCTCAGTCTCGTTTTGCTTAAGATGTCTGGAGAGTCAGAATCGTGTGTAGTGCCCTAGGAGACCAGGAGAGGGCGTTGGATCCCTTAGAACTCGAGGTTTGGATGGTTGTTAGGCCCCATGTGGATTCTGGGAACTGACCCTAAGTCCTCTACAAGACCAAGTCCTTTTAACTGCTGAGACATCTCTGCAGCCCACTAACTCCCTTATTTTCTAAAATAATAATATTTTCTAATAAGAACATGATAAAGATGTTTTGTCTGCATATATGTGTACCACTGCTTGCCTAAGGTTTCTTTTTTATTTATGTACATGTGTCTGCCTTTGTATGCTTATATACACTTGAGTACAAGAGCCTAAGGATGTTAGAAAAGGGTGACATTCCCTAGAACTGGAGTTAATGTTGGTTGTGAGCCACCATGTGCACGTGGAGAACTGACCCAGGGCCCTGCAAGAGTAGTTAGGACTCTTAACTACTAAGCTGTTTCTCCAGTGCTCTCCCCTCACCCCCACCCTGCTTTGGGTGAGCCTCCCCAGTGCTGGGTATGTCAGCATATACCACCAGGCCAGGTCCGCTATTTTTTTTTAATTCTTTTCTTATCTCAAATTTTTCTTTAATTTCTTTCATGGGAAATAGAGAATTGTTAGTCAAACCAGTTAAATCAATGAGATGAAGAAATCAATGGCAAATGTGTTTTTAAAAACTAGAAATTACATATCAGAACAAATGAAAGGATCTTTAAATTTTTCCTGATTAGGTTTTATAGAACTCTGAGCTGGAGAGATGGCTCAGAGGTT